GACATCGAGGAGATGGGGGTGTATTTTCTCCACGCCCTCCCGCCCCGAGACGCTTCATCAACGGACTCATCTTCGGATCTACGCATCACCGAGCTTCTCGACGCCTACAGCGACGTGTTCGAAGGCCCGCACGGAGTAGTACCGGATCGACCCATCCGCCACGAGATCATCCTCGAGGACGGGGCCGTACCTCCGCGCGGTTGCATCTACCGAATGAGCGAGGAAAAGTTAAGTGTGCTTCGGGCACAATTCAATGACCTTCTGGAGAAAGGCTGGATTCGGCCTAGCTCATTGCCATACGGTGCTCCTGTTCTCTTCGTCCGGAAGAAGAACAAGGACCTGCGGTTGTACATCGATTATCGCAAGCTCAACACGCAGACGATCAGGAACGCCGGTCCTCTCCCACGCATCGTTGACCTTCTCGAGCGATTGGGCGGTGCCCAGTTCTTCTCTAAGCTGGATCTCAAGTCAGGGTACCACCAACTCGAGATTCGCAAGGAGGATCGCTACAAGACCGCGTTCAAGACACGGTATGGGCATTTCAAATGGCTTGTTATGCCGTTTGGCCTTACGAATGCCCCAGCCACTTTCCAAGCGGCTATGACAACGGAGTTCCGACACATGATGGATCGTTTCGTACTGATCTACCTCGACGACATTCTGGTCTACAGCCGGAGTCTGGACGAGCATGTGGAACACCTGCGCACCGTTTTGGAGTGGCTACGACAGGCCAAGTACAAAGCAAACCGCGACAAGTGCGAGTTCGCAGAGCAGGAGCTGGAGTAATTGGGACACTATGTGATGCCGCAAGGCATCCGTCCGCTTGCGGACAAGATCGAGGCCCTACGAGTATGGCCCGAGCCCACCAACACCACGGACGTCCGTTCATTCATGGGGTTGGCGGGCTACTATCAGCGATTCATCACCGGATACTCCAGGATTGCTGCACCTATGACGAGGTTACAGTCGCCAAAGGTGCCATTCGTATTTGATGACAACGCACGCCGGTCATTCCAAGCACTTAAGATGGCTATGCTCATGGCACCCGTCCTTAGCATTTATGACCCCACCCTGCCGACGCGAGTGACTACGGACGCTTCCGGCTATGGCATTGGGGCAGTCTTGGAACAACATGACGGCGACGACTGGCACCCTGTGGAGTATTTCAGCCACAAAGTGCCTCCCATCAACTCGCTTGATGATGCAAGGAAGAAGGAGTTGCTCGGATTCGTGATGGCTTTCAAGCGCTGGCGGCACTTCCTCCTTGGGCGTCGTAGGTTCACATGGGTCACGGACAACAATCAATTGACCTACTACAAGACGCAGGACACGGTGAGCAGCACGATCAGGCGATGGATGTACTTCATCGACCAATTTGACTTCACACCGAAACATGTTCCCGGCCTCTCCAATCGCGCAGCAGACGCACTCTCGCGAACACCTGATCTTTGCGCTATGACACATCATGCCTTCGCATTCGACGGGGAGCTTCAGCGACACTTCATCCGGGCATATCAGTCTGATCCAGAATTCGGCACGCTCTATGCACAGCTACCTTCAGATCACCCGCCGGCCAGCCATTACCGCATTGTCGACGGGTACTTGCTCCTCCACTCGAGAGGCAAGGACTTACTATGTGTCTCACGCGACCGTCGTCTTCGGACTCTCCTCCTCGGTGAGTATCATGATTCACGACTCGCCGGCCTTTTCGGAGTCAACCGCACTGTTGCACGGCTTCGACAACGATTCCGATGGCCTGACCTCATTACCGATGTCACTCGGTATTGCGACTCGTGCGAAGTTTGCCGACGCAGCAAACCCCGCAACAGCAATCCCTATGGCGAGTTACACCCGATGCCTATCCCACGGGAACCCGGTCTCTCAATTGCTATGGACGTCACCGGTCCACTTCCTCGCGACCGGCTCGGGCACGACGGCATCCTTACGGTGGTGGACCGATTGAGTAAGTACGCGCGTTTTCTTCCTTACGGTGGTGGACCGATTGAGCAAGTACTACTCCACGGCTCCCGAGCTGGCACGCCTCCTGCACACTGGTTGGATTTGTGGCCACGGTGTACCAGAAGACATTGCCAGCGACCGCGACACTCGTTTCATGCCGGCGTTTTGGACTGCTCTCATGCAGGAGTCCGGCACAACTATGAAACCAAGTTCGGCTCGACATCCTCAGACTGACGGGCAGACGGAGCGGGCACATCAAACCGCTCAAATGATGCTTCGTACGCTCATCCGTCCGGACCAGAAAGATTGGGTTGACCGCCTCCCCGACATCGAGTTCGCCTACAACACTTCGGTGCACCCGGCGATCGGCGTGACTCCATTCGAGTTGCACCACGGTGGACGGAAAGGCCGTATCTTCGCCGACCTTCTCCTCCCTCGACCAGCCGACATTGACGCTGCCTGCTCTCCCGCTTCCGTCCGGAAGTACAGGGAATTGCTGACTCAAGCCCGCGCAAATATGCAAAAGGCTCAAGTCCGCATGCAGCAGCAAGCCAACAGGCGTCGCGTACCATGTCCCATCCACGCCGGTGATCTGGCTTGGGTCTCCGTGGAAGAGTTTGCACTAGAACAGGATGTTTCACGCAAACTGCTTCCCAAGTGGTTTGGACCTTGGTCTGTGACAGCAGCCGCGGGCGATGAGCCCGATGGCCCTTCATTTGTGATCAACATTCGAGAGCATCTGACGGTCCATCCGGTCTTTCACGCCTCGAAGCTGGCAACATAGACGCCAGCCAAGAGCGACGACTTTCCGGGCCGACGATCGCAGGACCCTCCCTCTATGGATGGTCATCAGGAAGTTGACCGCGTCATCTCCGATCGCAAGTACGGCAGCAAGCCGCGGCAGTACAAAGTCACATTCAAAGCATGCGATCGCGACGACACTCGGTGGATTTCAGGCGCAGATTTGAAAGCATCCGCACCCCTGATCTACGCGCATTATGAAAAGCGGAGGTTAGCTCAGGAAGCTTCACGACCAGCCCCTCCCACCCGAACTGTGGTCCCTCCCTCAAACAGACAGCTTCGCCCTCGCAGGTAAGCTCGGTTCTTCAAGGAGGGGGGGGTGTGGCATACTGCGTAGCCACACGGGCCCTGCAGGGCCCGTCCCGGACATTCAGCCTAAAAGCCTAAAACTTAGGGCTTACAGGCCCCAGTCGTTTCAGCCAGAAAGCTGAAAAACGAGGGCCGGCAGGCCCTACTCCGTTTCGGCCTATTTCTGGGTCTTTCAGACCCAGAGTTTTTCCAGCCTGAAACGGAGGGCCATTTTCAGGCCCTCATTGTTTCGACCTGCCCCTAAGACTCAGGCACGTAAACAGGGATGCGGAAAAGGCCAAGAATAGCCTGTTCCTCACGTGCTCGAGCAGGAGCTGCAGCTGCAGCCCCTGCATGCCTTCGGCATTGGCAAGAGCAGCCTCCCGGACTGCTCGCACGAGTCAGGAGGCACACCCGAGAAGTACATAGGACTGTCCTAGGCACTTCACGGGTAGGTAGTCAGTCAGTAGTCAGGTGTAGTCTTCAGGATAGCGGAACAGCACTCGGAGAAGCGCTGCCCAGGGTAGCTAGCGCTAGTGGTAGTCTTCAGCGCTGGGCGCCATAGCTGTAGTCTTCAGCGCTGGGCGCTGTAGTAGTAGGAGTAGTGGTGATATGGGAGAGAGATACTGGCGGAGGCCAGTGGTACTTACCTGTGCTGCCATCGTTCCAGCTCCATCTTCGTGATACCTGCATCAAGGCGCCAACTTCACAGGTTAGTACTGGACTGAGAGAGAGAGAGAGTTCTTCTTCTTCCTCTTCTAAGTCCACCACCTCTTCTTCCCCTCTCGCTGCCTACTTCTCAGTATCTGTGGACTACGAGAGAGAGATATGACTTGAGACTTGACGACATTGGATACAGACTCGACATTTGGGATTCAGACATTTTGACGAGGGACTATTTGGGCCTGTGCCGAAGACTTGGTGTTTACGACATTCCCGTCTTTCCCTCCTCTTCGTCTAACCCCCCTCATCTTCGTCTGTGTATGTGTGGGGCTGGCGCAGTCTTCCTGTGTGAAGTGCCAGACCCCTTTCACACCCTGGGATGATAATGATGATGTATGTTCTGGACTGCATTGTAACATTGATTGATCGGATCATTGGTATCTAAGTCTTCCGTTTGCGCCATCTGGTACTTTGTATTGAGAGGTCGGTTCTTGTTCTGTCTGTACCTTTACGGTATGCAACACTCGGGCACCTGCAGACCTCCTTAGACAAGTCGCTTAGGCAGCGCTTCTGCACGGCTCACAGTCTGAATGAATGAATGACTGGACGCTGCCTTTTTATTTATACTTCGCTTGGTCGCTGGTCTGCTCCTTTCCGCCAGGCCTAGGGTGCACACAGTCCCACATCATCCCACATGGTACTTGCTGACTGGACAAAGTGCGACTGGGACTGGGTACCGCTGACTAGACAGGGTTGGACTACCCACTTGCCCACTTGGCTCTAGCCTAACCTGAGTCGTTCTCGAAAGGCCACTTCCGGAAGTCTGTAGACTTGGCCTTTCGGGACTGTAGTAGCTACGACCTTGACCTTTCAGGACTGTAGCAACTACAACTTCTATACAGCTACGACCCCTACTCAACAGACCTACGGATCGAGACCCGATGACCACACTAACCTACAACAGACAACAGGCGACTACTAAGACACAGGTCACGGGTTCAAACACACAGGGTCGACTTTGTACTGTACACAGGTGAGGGCAAGGTCTAGGGATCGAGCCCTGGGATCTGCGTCTGCTACTGCAAGGGGAAAACCGTTTCACAACGATCCAGGACCTAGACTTCGACCCGGCGGAATGGGCCTGGACACCAGGAAGAAACAAAACCGTCAAGACAGATACCCACACACAGGACTACTCAGTCAAACTGGGCTACAGGCTATTCTCAAAACCAAGGACCCGGACCCCATAATCAAGAACAGATGGTCCAAACTAATGGGTCAGGACGCCAGTCAGATCCCACAAATCCCATGGAAAAACTTCAAGTCAATCAGACCAGTTAAAATCAAGAGCTTTCAATGGCTAATTGCCTACGTGGCACTACCGGTTAATTAATGGCTGCACATCCGGAGACATAAGAACGATCCTAACAGTTCAGAATTATGTACAGTATGCCTGGATAACGAATCAGAAGTTATGCTCCACTGTCTAATACGCTGTAGAGAAGCGACGAAGTAATGGGCCAGGGCATCGGGCCTCTGGGAGTCTCTATTCTCGACTCCCCTCCCTGAACACCCCTTCCAACTTCTCCTATGGACTAACATCCCCACCCAGCTGAACAAGACAGAGAAGATCTGGTTTGGAATGATCAGAAAGGTGACATTGTGGACCATCTGGAAGGAAAGATGCTGCAGGACAATTGAGGGCGCGTCAATTTCAAAGGAAAAGGTGTGGGCAGAAACAAAGACTTTGATTCAGGCAGAGATTCTATGCAAGTGGCACAAGACAAGACTTTCCCTACCAGACGAGGATGAGCAATAGCGCAGAGCTCTGTCGAAGTTCGCCAAGATCTGGCTGGTGGATGGAAAAATTGCAGGGATAAAGAATTCCTATATACGGTGGAAGGACTGGCATGACTCGTAAGGAGGTAGGAGAAGACCAGGACACCTCATGACCAACAGACTAGTTCTGCCGCGGACTAGAATGTCCTATGCTGAGGAACAAGGGTATTAGTCTAGTGCCTTGGAGAGGAAGGAGACTCAGATTTGTGTCTGGAGGCAGATCCTACCACTTCTCTTGTTTGAATAGGTTTATTTGACAGGGCCGAGAAGGGACCCTGAGAGGAGCAAGATGATAGGGCAAGCTGACAATCAATCCTCCTTCAGGGGAGCAATCAATGCTGGTCAGGGGTCCTTCAGCCATATGGAAGGAAGCGTGAGCGTGTTTTCATATTGTATTCAATCTTGACTTGCCGGGGGAATAGGAACCGGACTGACGCTCCCCCCCAACCCACCCCCCCCCCCCCCCCCCCCCCCCCCCCCCCCCCCCCCCCAAAAAAAAAAAAAAAAAAAAGGGCGACGGCCTTTGGATATCACCATTGAACTGACCAGCCCCCGGTAATGATTTTGTTCTCTTCATCTGAAGGTATCTGGAGTCGAACTTGAGTCTGTATTTCAACAATTGAGGGGTGTATCAACTGAGCTAGGCAGTGCCACTTGCTTTTCGCTGGAAGTTAATTCTCTGAACGCAGCATCTCTGAGATTTTGATGGTTGCAGTTGAATCTCATCTCCAACAAGTCCCATGGTCGATGACATGCATACTCATATCTAACCTTGTGGTTGGGCCCATCGACATGAAAAAGGTGATTGCATGTGTTTGAATTTTGAAACGTTTCAGGAGATCGAGATGATTAGGAAGAACTCTATACAGTGCCAGAACGAGACACGAATTGTCAACGAGGCACTGGATCAGGCACGGGAAGAACTCGATAGAACACGGGGAATTGCAGAACAATGGAGGGAGAGGATGGAGAGTGTGGACAGGGATTATCAACGGCTGGAGCAGCAACACGTAGAGGTCGTGCATGAACTGTCTGACATCAGGTGAGAATACAACCGTTTCGTGTAACAACATGAAAACAGTACACCCATGAACAGTTGGACCACAGACCCAAGCTCGAATCCAGATGTGCAAGGAAAATGAACGAGAGTGATAGACAGAAAACCAAATTGCAACATCACGCTGAAGGCCAGATAGTCGTGTACCAAGCAGAAAGCATAATGCACTGAGATACAAGCCAAATACAAGCAGTACAATGAACTCCAATGTCAATGTCGACACTCTGTCGCCACACCAACATAGTATCCAATGTCGCCCTTCTCGATTGGCGCTCAGCGCCCAGCCTGACCTACTCAGCACTATACTAGCCTAAATTACGTATGTGCAACCGGAGTCACTTCCAGCAGAAGACCAATGTACGTGACGACGTCTCCAGTGCAGACTGCCAGCATACACCAGGTACGTGCCAATTCTCCCCTCTGACTCACCCTTGTCTCCCCACAGTGTGCATCCCCGACACCCAAAAAACACCATCGCCCACTGGCATCCCTGCGAGCAGTGCCAGCTATGCCCGCTCGCGCCCGCTGTCGCCACAGCGCCCCTCTCACCTCCAGCAGCGTGGCCGCCCGCTCAAGAAAGGCCAGAAATGTACTCTGGCTGAGCAGGGCACTTTCCTATATGGAAAGTGCAGCCCTGCCTCTGGCTGCTTGGGCTTGGCGGGCGTGTGCCCCGTAGCTTCACGTTGGGCCAAAGTGTCTGCGCCCAGGCCCATTCTGACAGTGGCCTGCGCCCGCAGCATTGAGGCTGCCCAACTGTGCGATGTGGCTGTCGTCGCATGCTGTTTTCTCATTGGCGTAGAGAGCCCCAGTGTTACATCTTCGACGCCACACGGGTCCTACCGGACCCGACTTAGGGCTAGAGGGACACATCAGGGCCTAAAGGCCCGACCTTGGGGGTACTACAGGCCATAAAGGCCTCATCTTGGACCAGACCCGACGGGCAGGCCCAAACGACATTACCGTTTGGGCCTGGCGGCGCTCTTGTGGCTGCCGCCCGCCGGTTGGGGCTGAACCGTCCATCTGGACGGTTCAGGGCACGGTCAGGCCTCGCAGCATAGAGGCCGACCTCTGCCCACCGGT